CCAATTCAGGTTACCCTGAATTACCCACAGATGGCATATATTTACCTAAACGAGATAACAGTTGGTTTCAGATGTGCCTCAACTTTGACAATCGTCTTACATCATCTGCATGCTAAATGGAGTGATCTAAGTTTGCTTAGGTCAATTTATAATATTTACTGTGGAGCGTGTCAAGCCTGCTGAAGCTTAGAAAACACTTAATGATCTCCCAGCTACGAAAAGCATTTTAAATTGTATATTGTGAACATTCTCGGCTCTCAAATTGGCATTTAAGATGCACTCAGGGTGAGCTTACAAGAGTTAACACCCATTTCGGCACATAGATGGTCTCCTTGAACAATCCCCAACCTCCATGCTAGCATCAGCCTGAAAGATGGTTATTTCATGACCTCTGCCTCAGAGGCTTACTTTAAAATAACTCTACCCGGTGTCTCAATAGGAATGTGTCAGTATCATACAGCATTAACCATACAAAAGACGTCACAAATACCTAAACCAGTTTTAAAAAAACTATTCTTAAAACGTAACATAATAGAAATCCGTTTATGAACTAACCTACGTGAGTAGTGAACACAGCATTCTCTTGACAGAATATCAGACTGAGGAGCAAGGTGGGTAAACAATATGAACCAAAAAAGCATTCTGGTTTGTTTCTATATTTCCTTGTCATTGTTTACTTGTTTTAATACATTATGCGTGTTTATCTTTACTCTGTTACTTTAGGTAATGAGCTCTACTGATTTCTGGTCATTATTTTAACAGGGAAAAATAAAGGTTATCGGCTTTCATTGATGAATAGTTAATAAAACTGTTATTCTGCTTAACTGCATTTATTTTACACAGACAAGAAAACTGCTCCAGGAAGTTAAATTTAAGGCACAGGTTTTTACACAGGCACCACCAATTAGCTATATGGAAAGTGCCCTCCAGATCTGTTCATACCCCTGATGAAACAGGAACAAAAACATCATGAAAAAAATGAATTACAGATTGGATAATGCATAAACAATTGCTTAAACCAATTCCAAAACTCCTATATTGTAAGCATAATAACACTGCACAGAGAAAAGTTATATTTGTCATAATTGAATTATAAAGAATATGAGGGTCATATTTATGCACACCACTGAATACTCCTTTAAATAAATATTCCTTTAAATAAATTCTCTTATAACACTATGCTCTTTGAAAGTTAATAGAATCATCTGAAACTACACAGAGGTCTCAAAATGTTTCCCCATTTACTTGGACCATATAATGAGGTAATGCACAGAAGGCAATCTGTAGTAGCACTGACCATTATGGATAAGGTCAAACAACTCTCTGAAGAATGCAGACAATTGGTCACTGACGTCCACAAGAAGGGGGCTGGCTAACCGTAAAAGGCTGAATCTCTAGTGCAGTGTCCCTTATTGGTCCCAATCTAGCCAGGAAAAGAATGCAATTGTTTCTTGTCACCACAGGCTGTGGGACAAGTGTTTCTTAAAGCAGCAGTTGGAAGTCTCCAATACACACTGGCATCTTTAGAGTCCAAAACTAAAAATGTAACTTTGCTCTGCGCAATACTATTACAGTATGACATTATCCAACCTCTACATCTTTGTTATATAATATATAAAATATAGTATTTAGTTCCAATTTCACTGGGGGTATAAATAAATCCGTAAACTCTGAGCACTCATTTCTAAATTTATTTTCCTTAAAAAAACGCCTTATAGAGGACATATAAAATTTGTCAATTTATATGAATTATGCGAAATCATGTTCGACAAAATAAGCAAAATAAAAGCCTATGACAGCACATTAAGTGATACTGAGGATCTGAAACTTTGTTCAAGACTGCGTTCCAAGCCTTTCCACGTCCTAAAATGCTGTTACATGCATTCTCAATATTTTATAAAACAAGCTGAAAGGACCACAAAATACTTAGACCTGCTCAGTGCATAACCGTTCTGCCTGTGGCAGGTTTAGAAGAAGTGTCTCCGGTGGAGGCTCACCTGGGCTGCGGTCCCCCCGCAGGCTGGTGGGAGAGTCCATGTGGAGCAGGGCTTCGGCCGCCTCGATGGTCTTGTCGGAGCAGTGGACATTGCTGCCATGCACCGACGCTTCCACTGCGAAAGAAATAAGGTGGACTTCAAGAAAAGCACCAGCGGGACAATCCTTGATGTAAAGAGAGAGACAGGAACCACCGATGCCTTTTAGCGTCACAGGTTGTCTTCTGGTTCGATTTTCATGAAGGGTTATTTGCAAGGCTTCCTTTACACATCGCCGATCAAAAGTTTCCATTAACGTATGTAAAGACAAAACAATTCAAGCAGCTTTTACAGGATTAAATTGAAAACGCCGCTTTTCATCTGCGGCTTTCCAACTCCAATCTAGGGAATAGCAGCAAGCAGGCCAAAAACCACAAGAGGGCAGAACAGCTATTTAAATACTATGTCATGCCTTCTCTGTGCACTTTAAAAGTAATTGGTGAAAGCAATCTAATTTTGTTTAGTAAAGATGTGAATCAAGGAATAAGAATTTACTAAACACAGTATATAGAAATATATATAGAAAACAAACGCCAATCTATACCCATTTATCACTGTCTCTTCAAACTCAAAATAAAACTCTTTCAAATTTTTCATGTTGACATAGATTTGGATCTGTAGCAATGGACCATGCCGTAGCTACTAAAATCACCTAACGTCTACTACTCATTTGGGTAAAAATGTGGTCAAAACCAACAGACTACAGACTGGAAAATCATCAGATTGAACAAGGCAAGATACACTGTGTAATGGAAACCCCAAGCTGATAGCTTGCACACCAAATGTATGAGAGACCCAGTTTGCAGATACTTTCCATGAATGTTCACGTTCAACACGCAGGATGAAAATAACCAAAGCGAGGAAGAATTGCTCAAGTTAATTCGATAAGAGAAGGAATTTTAGCACTTGAATGATTACTTGTAATCATGATTACTTTATGTTGAAAAACCTTATTGCACCACGAGCTCCCATGGGTAAAGCTGTTGGCCGAGCAAATCATTTATCCCCCTTTGCACTGCCTCCCCATTTAGAAGTGAAAAGAACTGACACACTACCATGTTACGAGAGCGTTATGCATACTCCTAGGAAAACTCAACTATTAATTATGTATTTAATAGGCATTTTTTTTTCCCAAATGAAGCCACCACCTAACCTACAGAAAGAGCTCTATATACAACACACTGACGTGCTCTCAGGCTTCCTCCAGCATTTCTAACCTCGCTGACACCACACCACCTGTTGTCTTCCATCGCCACGTCCACAGCCCTGCTCTGGCCATGTTTGGCCATGAGCAGTGGGTGCCTGAGAGGGGCTATCTTTAGGTGATCCTACGTGTTCAGTCCCCAGTGCCAATGTGCTGAAGAGGACCTGACCTACACACTTGCTACACATTTTAACAGGGAGAACCACGAAGCTGGGCGGCAGTAAAACCGCTCGTGCACAGTGAAGAGCTTCAGGAAAGCAACACAATGACAAAGGGAATATTTCTTAGAAAGCTGGCAACAGGCATTACTAATGTCTTGTTTAGAAAGGAGTGGCTTCATAACGACTATCAAGATACAAAATAGTGCTGAATATATGATTAAGTTTAAAAGAACAGACAACAGAAATGGGTTTATTAAATATCAACTGCATTTTATTCTACAAAAAAGGATAAAAGTCACAAAAGGTAGAATAGTTAACTATTGTACACTTATGAAGTTTTAGCCTTGTACATCCATTTTAGTATGATCTTATGATATGGATAAGTAACGAAATACACAAAACCAGTAACCAAAGGAAAGTCTGTATAAAGTTTGAAACAGGCAAACGTATATAGATCTATTACACTTTTGATTTTAAAGTCACAAGTATTTTTTAATAAGGTATAGTACTTCAGTGATGACATATTGATGAAAGGTTTAAAATTTCAGTTTTATTATGGAAATCAAGCAGAAGCAGCAGGAAAAGAAGACAGGACTGCTCTGATGTTCTTCATCTGAAGCACTTAATTCACAAAAACGGTCACAAAAGTGATTGGGTCGTCTGCGGAAACCGTTGACTTTGACTTCGGGCACAAAAAATAAAATGCAAAATGCAGTTTTAAAAAAACGAGTCATTAGACACCACCTCACTCTACCCCAATCACACCTACGTTGTCGTTTCAACTCATGAATGGCAGAAGTAACTGAAGAACGTGCCACGATTAAAGGAGCAGGAAACTAAGGCTACTCTAAGCGTGTTAAAAAACTGCAAGAGCCACTGGAGACTCTTTAACTGCTGGAAGTGGAAAAAGATAGAAAAAAGATAACGCTCTAAAAATAGGTACCGTGTAAACATTGATCTAGTGCGGCTTTAAAAATTCAAAGGACAGTTTCTCTGTAACAGGTTATTGGACATTGTAAGTCAATAATATTTACACAGCGTATAACGATGTTTTTGTCAACTATCCTAAAAATGTGCATGTAAAAAACAGCTGTACTAAAACTCTTCATTAGAATAACATCAATGTAAAGCCAAAAGAAAATATACGATGGAGAACAGTTGCATAAATAGTCTTCAATCTCTAAAAATTGGGTAATTAAAACGGTACTATTTAATTGCATCCTGTATAGCGGTTCTGCAAAAAGTAGTGCTGTCCCTTCTGACTTCCGTGTTTACACTCTTTCCCTCCAGTTCCCTCCGCAGACGCTCTCGCAGCGACCTGTCTATCATCCCCCGCCCAGACTCCCATTGGCCAGCCGGCGCTTCCCCGCCTCTCACACCACGCACAGCTATTGGGTCTGTGGCGGATTTCGAACATCTCTCACAGCCGATTGGTCGGACGATCCTGTCAGTCACAAAATACAGTGTCCGCACGGATCTCAGTGCTTCCGCCATCAAATAATCAGAAAAAAAGAAAATCCTAAAATAAGTCATTCGACTTATAAAAAAACTGCGCGCATACTAATAAAATGAAAACTCCTAATATCCAATCCCCGTTTTCTAATAAAACAACAAAACCTCCTACTTTGCAGTGCGCACAGGTCACGCATTTTCTTATGAAATTAAATTTAGAATTGTACATCTAAATTACATAAAATATACCAAAATAGTTTTAGACGTGAACTATCTGTCGAGCTCTATCATTTTTGTAAAAAGAATTAGACCTATCAAATGAGAACCTGAGCATGCAGTTAGGTCTTGTAATTCCACCGTTACAGAATTTGTATTCTAAGAAAAAAAACACAACCCGGTAATTTAATCCCTCAGAATGTTCAAAACTATAAGAAAAGGGCAATGGCACTCTTATTACACATTTTACGATGACATATAGCAAAAAAAACAACATTAAAAAAGAAAAAAGATTAGAAGTGCACGTCCTTCCGAGTCAGACAGCGTGGCAAAGACGTAGGAAAGACAACAATCTTGCACACTTCCTGGTTTCCCAGCAACTCACAACAACCATCATTAAAATCCACAGAAAGCAGACGAAATACACCTCAAATTAAACTGTATGCAATGCAACAGAAAATCCTGTCACATCTGCATTTAGCTGAGCTGCTGTGCATTTTAGAATAAAGTACTTTTTTCAGCCCCCGAAACAGGAAAAGCAGAGAACGCCATGCAGGTTGCTAACCAAGGTGATCACTTCCTGATCTGCCCTCCATTACTTTACAAAACAACTTAACAAATCTGGATTTACGGACCAGGCTGGAAAGCGCGGAAAACGAAATCAAGCAGCGACGCGACGGAAGGAAAAGTTTGCAAGGCTTTACCGGCTCTGATAAGCAGATCGAGCTGGTTAGCGGGTCCCTCATGCAGTGAAGTCGCCATGTTCTCCGGAGCTGCAGATTCACATTGACTTGCATTGAAGAGAGGCGCAGCTAAGATCACTCCGCCAGCACAGGAAATCGCCTCAAATTCAGCCAAACACACAACCTACTGGAGCAACCGCGATTCTTCCGCGCCGAACACAGGAAATCCTCTACGTGCTGCTGTCAGCTTCAAGAGCACAAGGGCAGCCTGCAGTCACTTGCTCAGAAGATTTTGGATGTTTAGAACGCTATGATGCCCCATGTTTTTTTCCCCATAATCATAAATCCTTTAATCTACGACGCTTGCCTAACCGTAAACATTAACTGAACTTTACATAAAAGATGTCATCAGATTTGTATTCTTGAATTATTTACACACCAGAAATGCTTTTGTTCTTTCGTTTGCTCGATGCGTTACTTCAGCTGCCGAGATCACTGCAGAGCAAGTTGATTACTTTCAGTTAAAAGATCCTGAACGTTTCTCACGAGCGACATATCATCCGTAGACAAAAGCAGCAGCGAAGTCGCGACATAGATTTCCTGATTTATTTCACATGTGTGTGAGAGGCCGGCAGGAGTTTCCTTTTAATTCCCACACAGCTACAGTATACTGTTTACAATTTAGTAACATTCTTCTGTCCCGACAGCCGCAAGGAGCACGCGAGCTGCTCAATGTGTCTCTGCGCTAAACAGGTCAAATTCAGTAGCCTGAAGGCTTAAGGAAATTGTAAGTTTACAGTACTCGGGAATAAGAGCGAGTTTGCTGTAGCAACACGATCGTTGCTATCGCTTAAAACAAAACTAAAACAAAGAAATTACACGCTTTACACTGGTTCGCTTTTATTGTTGGTTTCAATACACAATCGCTTGACACTACTATAATCACTCTCGAATATACATTTTTGAACGCCAGTTTTCTGTAACAAATTATATATATCCCACACTTTCTGTACTATAGATTGAGGCAAAAACAGGTGACAGAAAATCACTATTGGTACAACAGTTACTATTACAAAGGAGCCAGTTTTGCTATGATAACATCTGTAAGATTATGTTTGAAAGCTTTTCAATCAGAATCCTCTCTAAAAGGTTACCAATTGTAAACACTAACAGTTAAGTGTATGAAAACGTAATATCATTGTACTTACCTTTTATATTTTTCAAGAACGTTTGAAAAGTTTTAAAATTCTGCTGTTTATATTAAAATTATATTTTTATTTTTACAACTAGGAATACAACAGTGCCATATCTCGCGAATTATGAACACTGTCGCAGATTATTTTCAAAACCAAGACAAAATTCGTTTCTTTCCCCACATTGCTGTGTCACCAAGCAACTAATAGCAAAGATAACATTCCATTTTAAAGAGGTGTAAACACCACTGGCTCTCAGATAATTACATTGTGACAGCTTCATATATACTTCAAAAGTATTTACATAAATTACTGTATGTAAAAGTATGACAGTTTTTCACTGAAGCTTCCCACCAAATACATTTTAAAGATTTTTTATGACTGCTAAAATCAGCTGGGTTTTCCTGTTAAATTACATTTTCATGTAAATTTCACTTCAATAAATTCATTAACACCAGATGTGTATTTGATAGGCCGATATTTTACAATATTGCTAACTCCGATTCATAGAGAATGTTGTATAGACCATGTCCCACAGTCTCTTCAGTTTCACACCCCATTACTGAATCAGAAGTACCAGTTAAGCTTCAGAGATCTGGCACTACTAAATCAGCTGGTCAGGACAGTATTGAACTATTTTATTTAGAAGAAAACAACTTTAATTTAGGATCTTTTCACTGACTTCACTTTTAAAATAGACTAAATTCCAACACGCTCAAAGCCCTTCTTCTTCCTCTTTTCAAAAGGTATATTAAGTCCGACATTGACTGCTGTGGACTTTTATCCATTTTCCTTGGCATTTATAGGAATCGTGAAAAGAGTTAATAAGCCGTTAAGACCCCGTTTAGGTAATAATTATATTGGTAAACTTCAAATTAGCCTGCACAATACCTTCGGTATATCTTCTAAAAGGCTACATATGAGGTTATACAACATTCATTCCGTATGTTTTAGGTTATCATTTGTATTTGGTGCAGGAGTATGGTTATTATGAAACTTATGTGCCTATTATATCTTTTGGAACTATGGGTATCAAGGGTTTTGAATGTTATAACATCTCAAAAAGCCTCTATGAAAACAATATTAAATTAATCTGCAGGTATATAAAGCCTAATTCAAAGAAATCATTACCATTGCATTTAGTCAGATGTGCAGTATGGCTTTCGCTCTGAGCATGGATATGTTACATCAGCTTCTAATGGTACGAATGATATGATACTGGATCTCAACAAAAATTACACTTGCAAAGCTATCTTCATAGACTGCTGATCACTCAAGTCTTATGAAAAAGCTGCAAAATTGGCTTTCATATAAACATTTGCATTCGCAGTTTAATGTTGTCAAAATTGGCTGTGTGGGACTGCTGGCACTTACTGGTTGTCTTACAATTTAACTAGCAGTACCTTTTATCAAATTGAACCTTCCAAAAGCAAGACGGAATTTGAAAATGACAGTGCATTTAAAGTCGAGAACAGCAGACACTTCTTTACCCAAATGGTTGTGGAAGTGTGGAACTACCTAAGCAGCCATGTTTTTGAAGCCTTTTAAGAAATGTCTAAATGAGTTTAGCAGATCATTTAATTACTACTAAATCTGCTCGATTGGCACATTTGTAACCTTTGTTATGTTCTTAACTTACATTTTGGGATACCAGTCATTTCATTTTGCTGCTACTAACAACTGGAATAAGTTACAAAGTAAGCTGAAACTATCTAGCCTTGCATCTCAGGGTATTTTCATATTTTTATCTTCTTTCATTACTTTGTTTTCTGTATTGCCGTAATTGAGACATCAACTGATTTATCTAGTTAAAAAAGAATTAAACAAAAAGAGCTCAAGCACGAAAACAAGCCAAAAATGTAAGTTTAAACATGAACATTTGCTGAGATACACAGTACACCCTTTTGTAAGGGCAGTGTGTGGTGCTTGTACATAAAATGCATCTCATTTTGGAGTGCTTTTAAGATCTAAAACTGCTATCTAGGATTTCAGTAGTCCCACAAACCTTAGGTACCTCATCTTCAGTATTTTTGTGTTGCTGGGTGCATCAGTGTGGAAAATTGTCCAGTTGTCAAATTCCTGGGCGAGCGGCTTAGCTTCTTATAACGCAGGTTAAAAGTCACTTCCAAATTGTTACTTTCTGATCATGATTTAACTAACTTTCTGTATATAGATCTGCTATTGTTTACCTACTGTAATATACAATTTAATGACCCTTCATCAAATGTTAATAGTAAATCATAAAAGAAACAATTAAAGTAAAAAAATATATATTATTGGTGATGCAGGTCACATGAAAAATCCAAGTATGTTTTCTTTCATATTTTAACATTTTATTAAAATTATCAAAAAATACTTTACCGTCCCTATCTCAATCCTGTATATGGTCTATTTTTTTAAAAAGGGGGATTTTCAGGAAAGCATTGTAAGTGACTGTGAATAAGCATTAAAAGCAGAAAAATGAAAGAAGTATACAATTTTACACACTTGACAGTGTTAGGTCTGGCAGGCGGTAATGTAGCATCAAAACACAGATCGCCAAGCAGTTTCTTGAATAGCTAATACCTAGCAGTAGACTGACTACTACCCACTACCACAACCTTTTAAATTTAGCAGTTGTGCACTGTATACTGTACATTCTTTTTGTTTACTATTGTATAGTGTAAAATATATATTGTACGTTGTATTGTGTAAAAGAATTCAAACACACTTATTACAAATGGCAATAAACCTTGAACTTGAACTACTAGAACTCCTTTGTAGCTTTTCTGTCTCCACTGGTAGTTCTCCTGAAATACCACTAGATGTCCCTCTAGACGTAGGGTGCCAATCATGAGCTGTTTTTCTTGCACAAATCTGAACAAAACCTTTGACATCTGATGCAAGTCAATCAAAAGCTCTTGACAGCTTTTCATTGCTTTCCTTTAACTGAAAAATACAATTTACAAGAATCCAGCAAAGACATATAATAATGAACATAAAACTTAAAAAATGAAAGCACCCATTTTAAAGAACTGTAACAAAGGTGAATTCAGATTGTGCTTTAAAATTAAAGCCAGAAAACATCTTGTATTTTTACATTTATTGTTTGTTATTCATAAATATAATCTGAATTTATAAATACAAATATTTTTGCTTCCTCTGATTAGCATTATATTCAGTAACCAGCTAATATACACACACTAGAAGGGTTAAATTTCAACTATGTAAACTCACCCTTTCCATCCCTTTAACACATTGAACTAGCCTGACCATGTAATCACAACAGTTTCTAGAAAAAAACCTCTTCACTGTTTAGAAATTTAGAAACAGGTGAATACTGTATCTCTTCATACCTTATTAGACAATGTTTTATCCTCAATTGATTTAAATAACCGAGCTAAATAAGGGGTAAATGCTCAAACTGGGGTGATGTAATTAGTGGTATACAACAGGGGTCCATATGAGGACCACCAATCTTTCTAATTTATATGCATGATCTAGATTTGGGTCTAGTTAGTAAATGATTCATGTTAGCAGACCTTACAAAATAGAAGAATCCGCAAGCACAGTAAAAGCAGCAAATGAAATTAGAAAAGATTTTGATCAAATTCAAGATTTTTACACGAGTGCGGAATATTACACGCAAGCAGCAAACAATATATAAAATAGCAAATTCTAAGTTTGAAGATTCTACTTAAGAAAAAGGTGTTTAAGCTGACACATGGACAATGTGCAGAGCAATAAGACAGGTATACAATGTTAGGATATAAAAGTTAAAAATACAGAATTAAAATTAAAGGTTATGAAGTAAGGCTTCATTTAGAACAATATGTACAATTCTGGTCACTATGTTACAAAAAACACTGATGTTCTGGAATTCATCCAGAGTAGAGCAACTAGATACAGTATATTCCAGGGTTGAAATAAAAGTGTTACACTTACAGGTTAAAGGAGTTGCCCTTTTTTAGTTTAAAACCAAGAAAACTACAAGTGGGCCTCATCCAAGAATTCAGATTTCCTAAAGGCATTGTCTTTCATTTTTTTTAAAGTTAAATAACTTTTTGTTCCTGAATAATCATTGATAAATCAACTAACATAGTTCAAACCTTAGGTGTGATGCTACAGATAGCCACAGGATGGAGACAGCAGTTGGCATTCTGCTTGGAAATTGGGAAGTAAAACAAAAAAGTTGTTATCTGAACAGATGTACAGTATAACCGTACAACTAAAATATAGTCTTGCAATTTAGTAACTTTGGTCAAATCTGCTTCTTGATTAAAAAATATATATTTCAATGGATAATTTAACAGAAAGGTAGAGGACATTTAGAATTAAAGTATTAAAAAGTGCACAAACCATATTTTTCAAAGCTTTTGAACACACATAGTGTATCGACCAACACACAATAATAGCAGGCCATTAATATAACCAAAGCTATTAGTCCTTCATTCCGTTCTAGTTTTACAATAGCACAAGAAGGGTCATACACCCACTTTCATAAGAAACTAATATTTCATTGTAATACATATCGTTACACAGTTCTCATGGAAGATGGAGATTACCAAGGCCGGTAATTAATCTAAAGCAAACAACTGTATCACCTGGTACTTAAAATGCATAAAAATAAACGTTACCTTTAGTACAGCTATCAGTGCCCTACAGGTAAGGTTTTATAGATCTAGCTGGTAAAAATTAGTTTTAAATATATATAAATGAGAAGTAAAAAATTCCACACACACGAAGCCCTTAGTCATGTATATACAGCAGTTACATCCAGGAAAATATTAACATGAATTAGAGTAGTTCTGTACTGTTATGTACAAACCATTTTTAACTTAATATGACTATATCACATCAAATGTTTTAAAATCCAGACCTTGTACTAGGAAAATCAACTCATTCCTAAATTTAAAATAATTTTATTAGAAATATCTTACTGCCCATGCTTGAATTCTAACATGAAGGCACTGAAACTATACAGCACAACTGTTTACCTCACATGACAAAGGTATTTCTCTGACTATACCCTCAATGGAGAGTCAGCTCAGATGTGTCCTCCTGTGCTCTCTGACTGATTCCTGATGAAGTCCTGATGAAAAACTGAAGGTTTGCATGATTTCCAGGATTGCCCAAGTTATCTTCGGAGTAACACTAACTTCATGGATAGGTAGTTACAATCACATGTACTCTACCCTTAATGTGTAACAAAATGCAACATCTAGAAAGTTTAGCACTAATACAGAATGCAGTTCTGAATGCTGTTCCATTTTGTATGTACTGTAACCACTCAAAGATGAGGGAAACATCAGAATTTGAACTCAGTGTTATATTTTACGCTTGTCATGAACGGTCTACTTCAGTCTATCACTCTCCTCAAAATTCTATCTATACCAAGTAAACCGAACATCAAAAGAAACATCTCACTTATAATACATTTTGTAAACAAATTCAGTGCAGCTACAATAAATTCACAAAATTCTCAGAAAGATCATTTTTAGCAGGTATACCAATATTTTATCACAGCTCTTCCCACAGCTGTTCAATGGGGGTCAGGTCTAGCGAATATGGCATTCATTAAACAAATGCTATATTCCCTCCTCACCAGAAAGACATTGTCACATAAGCAGCCCGAGGACATGTGCAGTCCCATCACAAAGAGCCCACAGGAAGAGCAACAGGTGAGGTCCCAGGACTTGATTATTGTAGTGCTGTGCTGTCTGGTACAGTCCATCACCCCTGGGCCTGTCCAGTGATCTTGACAAGACATTACATTGTATGACACTGTAGTGTCCCAGATTTGACTATATCATTTTCTTCTAACAAGGTTAGAAACTGCTGGCTGTGAACACCCTCAACTGCAAGCGGCCATGTGCAGAATTAGTCTGGCCTCCAACATCCCAATGGCATAATGTTTCTCTTGATATTAGTTTCTTTCTGTATTATTTTAGGATTTTTCACAAGCTTGACGTACTATACAGCGGGCGAAATCGCTTTTGCCCAATGAACTATCTTACTAATGTTGCCTTTAACTGGTTCTACAACAGCCGCTTAAGTGCCTAAATCAGAGTTTATAATTAAATAGTAGATATCCAATGGTTCTTATTTGTTTTTTTTCTTATTTCAAACCATAACAAAAACCTACAAAATGAACTAATAAATCAGTACTTAAATGTTCACACTATGTTAGTATTGTCAGTCGCAGTGCTCCCATTGGTAATATTTATGAAAAACTCTCATGCAGTGTCTTTGTATGTGTAAACAACTTAATATTAATATTCCTTAATAAAGTCATGGTAGTAACACAAAACAGTCAGTGTACTAAATTATCTATTATCTTATACTTTGATCCCCAATACATGCAATAGGTTATTACAGGAAATTTTAATTATTTTAATTTATTTTAATAGGAAATTAAATTTATTTTAATAGGAAATTAAAAACCCTAAAGTCATTATTGGCTAAAGTGTAACTGCACGTACAGTAACACCAACTTTAGCAGCGAAATAAGTATGTAACCAAAGTACATTGTACAATTACATTGATTGTAACCAATTAATGTAAGCAATAACTTTTTTAATTGTTTCCCTCTACACACAATCCCATTTATGGATAGATGATACCAACATAAACCCTAACCAAAGTGATGGGAAAATTAAAGTGTAGAAAAAGGAAATGCAGATACTCCAAAGAATAGTGTCATCTGTGAAGCATATTCTGGCTTGTTCATGCATGGCTGACTCACTTAGTCTTTATGGATTTTGTGTAACTAATGGTGGCAGCAGCAGAATGAATTCTGAAGTCTATAGAAACATTTCATCTGCTTATGTAGAATAAAATGCTGCTGTACTTATTGGGGAGCTTGACCATGAAGCATGACAATGACCCAAAACATATGGTCAAGGCCAGTTTATCATGAAAAACTGACTGGCCAAGTAAATTTCCAGAATTCAATCCAATTGAGACAAACGTTTTACATGCTGAAGAAAAATACTGAAGTCAGAACACCCTAAAAATAAGCAATAACTGATGATCTGCGGCAACACATCTCAAATGATTGCACAAAATTTGGTGAACTTAATTATTTACAGACTTCATATTGTTATTGCTTCAAAGGAGTATGAAGCGAAATACCAAATTTTACTCTGAAATCTACTTAATGTGAATGTGTCCCAATACATATAGTCACTGGATTGAACACATAGTATTTGTTCAAATACAGTCAAATGCATGTATGCAATTACTCAAAAATAAAGCTTACATTCTTCTAATCACTCATAAAAATTTATTTTAAAGTAAAATTAACAGTTGTCACTCCGATGTCCCGATTCTTTTTTGGAAGGGTACTATATACAGTAAGTAGCCCATGGATGAAGAACACTAATTGTGAATTCAGAAATAGTTTTTTTAAGGCTCTTTGGTTTTGAATGCTTAAGAACCAGTTGATAAAACATAACATCACATAAAGCCTATATAAGTCAATACTAGGAAGAGAGTTGTGGCGTGCTCAGAAAGTGGGGTCTTCAGAATGAATAGAATGGCTCTGAAAAAAGTCTTAAAATGCATGATCTCTCAGAGGCATCCTCTAGCAGCATTTTGTAAAGAAAAAAAGGGTGGGACATGGAACGATCCAAAACACATGAAAAACCTTTTTCGGATTAGTCGGAATAACAGGCAAATGAGAAACAATTCAAACTGCCGCTGGTTTCTGCCGTAGTGACTCAATAGATTTAGCTACAAGTGATTGCGTAAGATGAGGAATGTGGTCAGTAGGAAACCAGGTGTACATCTGTAACAGTCACATAACACCTATTCACTGGTTGTCCAAAAAATACTAGTAACAAAATGAGCCAATAAAGACACCTCACACACATTTATTACATATTTTCTTGTAAAGTAATTAAATGTTACAGAAGGCTCAATTAGGGATTAGACAAGAAATATTAATTGTCAATCTACATGCTAATTAAACTGTATTACTGGAGTTTAATTCTGTACACAGAACAGCATTGACTCAAATGGCACTTCCTGGATGAGAGAGCTGCCTTGCAGCACACGTAATCTGTAGTAAAAGTCGACTTCATATTAATGCGTGAGAGGTGGAGGCCGAAATTCACCAAAACAAGGCATTATGATGTAAACGTGACGTTTGCCGTTAACATCTTCAGTTTTTACAATAAAAAAATAAACAGTTTTGACAGAGCAGCTATTTTAAGTAATGTCAGTCGTGAAAGACTCTGGGGAAAATTTATGAGGCTTGATTTTTATGAGGAAAACATGATGACCATTTCTAAACGCAGTTTGGTTCCCATTACTAAAAAAAAGTTCTCTACTGGAGTGAGTGGTTTTTAGTCCGAAAATAATATAAATGAAGCGATGCTGGTTTCACTTCCTCTCACATCATTCCCTCACAATAAAGTTAAGACTTGAAAGCTTGAACAGAAGGAATACAGTATTTATATTTTCTACATTTTTTTAAATTAGAGAACCACCTTTGTATCTGTTTATGGTTAGCGCCCCTCTCTGTGTTTATGCAAAGAAAGTCAAACAGGTCCTACCGGACTCCACGATTTCAGTTTCTATCTCCTGCTCCTCTGCGACGTCTTGCATCAGGTAGGTTTCGTCATCGTACACCAGGACCTGTGCTGCGTAACACTGCTCCAGACGAGCGCTGGGGACCTGCTCCACAATCACTGCGGGATACTCCTCCCCCTGAACCTCCTCCTGCCAGAACAGCACACCCACCATCACACCTCAGCTTTCAGTTCTAATCCACAGACACTTCACACCAGCCAAACACAGCACTACAGTACTGCCTGCTTGAAGAAAAAAAAAACGCTCATTTCTTGGGAAGGAAAGAATGAAAGAATCTAAATTATAGCAGAAAAGTCCCTTCCAACACAAGACTGAGGTCCTGCTGTTGGGTTCCCCCATCTGTAAAACCAATGATGTAAGCAAGGCACTATGCTTGCATTTCAATCCAAAATGAAGAATTTGGAGGTGGTTTTCATTCCTGGATTGACTTTTTGAACCTTAAGCACAGAATTTCTAAGCACCTTTGTTTTTCCATCTGAGAAATACTGCCAACCTGCCTTACACTCTCCATGACTGTAGTGGAAAAACTTTCCAGGACTGATTATGGTAACATCCTAGTTGCAGAAGTCACTAAAACTACACTTAGTAACAGTAGGATCAGAATTTGGCATCTAGAATCCTGACTACGTTATGTGCCAGTGATCACATCACTTCAGTCTTGAGTCCCTGCACTGGCTTCCCATCAGCTTTTGAGTTGATTTTAAAATCCTGCTTACATTCCAGAGCTCTACATGGCATGAGTGTCTAGTATCTACTGGATGTGCGTTTACTGTCCTCCATGTGACCTTCACTCAGAAGATTCCAGTTTATTATGCATTCCTACTGTTCATCGCCAGACTGTGGGTGACTATGCCTATGGGCCTTTCGTTGATTCAGTAACACTTGATGTTTGTAAATCTAGCCTAAATATATACTTTTCAGAATGACTTTTTCATGATTGTTCTGTTTTCTATAACCTATTTGTTTTATTTTCTTTAATCTTATTGTTGTGATTTTGTGTATTTTGAAGTGATTTGAGATGACTGCTTCTAAAGGCACTAGTATATTATTACAAAATACAGGCAATGGTGTTCCTGTTGAAATAGTGGTCTTAAGATTCAAGTATAGTCACCTATTAAACAGAACAGGTCAGGCGCTTTGCAACTATACAATATAAAAATGCTGAAATTGTGAAAGAGAAATGCAGTTACACGAAAGGTTGATTCAATAGGATCTTCTGGTTATTTACATAAAAATCTAAGCAATACTGGAGGACACTTCAAACTCGTAGGCACTTTGTGTCCTCTAGTATTCCTGTGCACAAAGCTTTTCTCATGAAGAAAACAGGCCAAAGTTTGAGCAGGTAAACCAGATAAAATAATGATAACACTAAGACATTATTATTTGTATCATGTTGAAAAATAATGTTTTTCCTCAAAATAAATTCCGGCTGATGACAATACTGTCCAGTGATGCCTTACAGATTCAAAAGGAATTATTGAGATGGTGGAAAATTATGTCTGACATATACCTCACATAAACTTTAAACTAGATGAATTTGTTTCCCAATGTATTTTAGAAAGCTAATGGAAATTAATTGCTTGGAAAGGAAGAATGTTAAAATTACCCTGCTTACAGTCAGTTCTATGCACAAGGTTCCTGAGTTTTTGAATCCTGACTAAAATAACTTAAGTACATACCCTTCCTTCTGCAGAGTACCGTTTATAACATGCTGGGTTTCTCAACCGGTGGTTACAGAAAATGAGGGAGAAGCCACTAAACTCCATTCCGTGTTGACCTCAGTAAGATTATTTGGTTCATCAAGGTGTAACACTAAAAAATATCTAAGCTCACTGCTCCTTTAGACTTAGCCAATGATAAATTTCTTTGGTTAGGGTGACATAAGACAAGAAGGGTTTCAAAACTGCTTTCAAAGATGGCAATTTCTAAATTCATCATTATGCCTTTGACAAGATAAAAATTGGCGCTTAATGCCTGTGCACAATAAAACATTATATTTAAAGGTTTATCAAACACAATCTTTCTAACAGATTAAAAACCACAGGTTTAAAAAAAAACACTGACAAATTGCAAAATCGCTCAAATGAGGATCTACAAAAAACAGTAAGACTGTCTAGCCTGACAACCCCACACCTGCAATATAAACACGAGCCTTCTACAAACCCCTCAGCATCCAGCCCGCAAGTACAAGCGAGCACATACAGTACACATGTCTTAACACCTGCTTTGTCTTTTGTTGCCATCTCCATATCTCTGTATCAAGGCTGCTCGCTGTAGGGCTCTGGACTTGATTTTCAGTGTAGACTATTGTAAATTAAACTAATCTTAGGTACCACCAGGGGCTAGTAATTAGAACTGAAATCAACTGCAAGACAGAATGTGTGAAAATATCTTAGTAATTGACCACACATGTAAATGTCATTTCCTACAGCTCATATAGGCTATCACAGTGCCAGCGTATGTCAGCTTTCACAGTTCCCATGGTCAGATTGTGCTTGTCCTACAGTGTGCCAGTAGATCACATGCCAAAAACTAGCCAGTTTAGCATTTTGTATGCCAAGACTCTTAGCATGCTGAGTCTCCCTTTTCCATCCAGTATCATTTGTCAACATTTAACAAGAGAGGGGTGTTTGAGGTCAGCAAACACAATTATGTTAAAAGGACAGCCTGGCTGTTGTGGTATACAAAAAGAATGAATTGGTTGACTCCTATACAATTTTAATTCTCTACGAAAGTGTATAATTCCAGTATTGAGACAATCAGTAGTATAGAGTTTCTAATCCTTAAAAAAAGATCCTGTAGTTGTGCACATACAAGAATTGCAAGTCATTAACTTCCAGCAGTTTTGTGACATGCTGCTGAAATTGAGAGTTTAAATTCACACATTGTGTTTCAATTTCAAAACATGCAAACAGGATTACTATAACAAAAAGAAAGTTGTATCAGTTTGTTGTGGCAAAACTGGTCAAAGCAAAATAGACTGACCTGAGACTACGCAAACAGAAACAGCAGGACTCTGTCTCGCTATTATTACTGAAAAAAAAAAACTAAAAACCTTTTTAATTTCTCCAGGCATTGTCAGACCAACCTGTGAATTCAGCAACAATACGATGAAAATGATTTAATTACATATTCTGACATTTAGATCAGAAAGGCAAATTGCAAATAAAAGAATGATGGAATTAAAGGAGAGTGTGAAAAGATCTCTTTTTAAATACGTTCTAATAGTGATTAAGAAACTATTCACATTTTTTCCCCTATGACTAACTGTTAATTCAAGGGCTACATTTAAAACGTTTTCTTTCCATAACTGTATTAATAATTGTGACAGATAAAAATCAGCCAAGAATAATGATTGCCCCACTTCAGCTAGGTCAACAGCAGGGTCCAGCCACTGGATACTCAGGGCTCTGTTTGCCTCTGAGAATTAAAGTGTGTGTACACTTTGGCTCCAGCTCAGAAGAGCTCTTTTCTCCAGTTTACTCCCACTTTCCAACACTGCCTCTGCCCTGCCAAACGTACATTACAGTCCTGCGATCAAAGAAGAGGACATTGATTTCCTGTTTTACAAATACCGCAAAAAGGCAGGAAAGAACTTGGGCTTTTTTGTTTCATTTTGATCCCTTTTCTTCAGCTTCAGGTGGTGATAAATTGAATACTTCCAAATGCATTGCCCAGACTACATAATTAGGAATAAGCCAAAAAGCACATACGCAAACAAGACTATTCAAGCATTTAATTTAAAGAGTTTAAATGGTTTTGTATGTTATTGGTGAACAAATTGGTACACAAAAAGTCATCAATACTTCTATTTACACCAAGGATTTGTACTGTGTCTAAGTACTTCACTGGGCTTTGTTTTTAGAAAGGCTACTACAGAATTGATTTTTTCACCATCTTTCGATTCTGCTGCTTTGGTCTTGTGGTAGTTGCTTTTGTTGTTGTTTTAGTGTGTCAAAGTATTATTATAATCCAAGTGCTTGATCATATTTTAACACATTACCCCTCAATGTTGTAGTAGAAAGGATTGTCCTGGTGAAAGATCATCACTACCTTATAGGCATTATCAAAAATACTTGCAGCAGTTCTTTAACTTCTCTGCTTCAAATATCATGCATTCTGTGCAAGCCCACAATAATTGGAAAACTGCCTTTTCTGACTGGTATTTCCAGAAGTAAATAAAAGACAGACTTCGTTTAGTCAATTCCCTCTTAAATAAATAGCAAGGGGTCCTCCATTAAAGGAGCAAAAATCCAAATGTATTTCAAAGAGGAAAAATCTGAACACGGAAAAATTGCCTTATGAACTGTTCCTCCTAATGCAGACAATAATAAAAACAGTTTAATTACATGTGAAAAACAATGTTTTTAAGAAACAATCCTGGAAAACTCACTGTTAATATGTAATAAGCCATGACCACTTCCTATGCAGGGGTACAGAGCTACCATTGTACTCGGCAAACACAAGGATATCGTGCCTTTTGAACAAACAAGCTACTACAGTACTTCTGTTCTGTAGAAGGAAGTAACTTTATAAATATTATTTCATTTTTAAACAGCATCAAGATGAGCACTTCTGAAAAAAATACATATATACATATTTATTGTACAGCTGGACAACACTATTGCCCAATCCTTTTGTTTTGAGGTTTTGTTTTCCTTTAAACAACTGCAGAACTATAGTACTCTAGCTAAGTGGTGAAGCTTCTTTTTCTTCAGGAATGCAATTATGAACTCACTTTGCCAAATAAAACAGCAGTGTTTATATGGGAAAAAAACACATTGTGGCACTTCGATGTGACCTAAATATGATATTGGACTTTCAGGTTTCCTTTCTGGTGCCAAATTTGAATTCTCTTAAAACATTACATATAACCTTCCGTAAACTAAGCATCTATATAACAAAGTTAGTTCCTTGCCTATTCCACAACTCTCGGTTACATGCTGTATGTTCATGCTTGCTCGCGTAATGATGGCTGTGTCTGGACCAGGACTTTTTTCAATCGATCCACTGACCTCTACATACTTCTGATGTTCAGTTACCTGCTGTGGGTTCTCCATCGCACTGACATACTCCACCACCGGACCTCCGCCATCAACGACCACCACAGAGGTCATAACGCATTCCCTTGGGAGTTGGCTGTTCCCTTAGCGCCGACTTCTCCCGCCCGTCTTTCCTCCTGCCGCCCCTGCTCTCCTCCGGCCCGGCGTCCCTGCCTGCAGCGCTGTAGCCGCGGCCCGCACAAACTGGAGAGCAGACAGAGAGAGAGAGTAGTGTTGATGAGTCAGGGGTGCTGATGTGCTGCCGGCTGCCTCTTCTAGGTTAAAGGAACTGAGATGGAGAAAGATGTAAAGCCCAGCGTACCGGAGCAAACATTTTTCCTGATACACTCCTTCGTCGTGTAAGATGGCTGGTTCTGCATTTCCAGAAACTAGCAGTCATATTTCCTGGCTTCTAGTCTGAGAACCGTTTTCAGCAAACATGCTTGCTTGTTTCTGGAAGCGCAGCAGCTGGCATTGATACATGAAGAAAGAGTGTAACAAGTTTCCTCATGTATGCTGGGCTCAGAGTGTGACTTTGCCAGATGGTAAAACTGATTTCTGCAGAAGACACTCTGCTACAGTTGACGCCGCTGACAGACCAATGAAAAACCACATTTGTAAGTGATCACTTAAACTTTGCCCATTTAAAATATTATGATCTCCTCTTCTCTCTACACAATTTAGGGGCCGCTGTCTTATCCATTAACTGTTTCTGTGCCTCATCCTTTTCGGAATATTCAGAAGTGGACAGGACAGGAGAAATCACAGCATGATGCTTGAAAACGTTCCTTGAATACCTTTGAAAAAATGTTTCGTAAAGGATTTATTTTCATACACTTGGCTAAGTAATGAAACACTAAACTCAAAGGCATTTCCAGTATATTGCCAAATTCTCTCTCAATGCATAAATTTACCTTTAAAACAAAAACCTGTACTTTTTCTTCATTCAGAAAAGTGTTCTCAATGAAAACAATCTGGCCTACCAAATAGAAATATCACCTAACTTTGACAAAGAACTGTTTGTTAGAATCTTATTAGAAGGTAAAATATAATCCAAACTGCTAAACCTTAATAGTGTTTTCATTTAAGTTCTAAATTTACCTAAATTAAAACATAAATATACAGAAATCTGGAACAATTTAGAAAAACAAATGAACTCCACTGAAACTGGTTTATTTAAAAGCTGCTCCATTTAAAAAAAAAAAACATACTTTAAATGACATACCCATACACAAATATACCTAAATTGACCCAGCCTGCAGTCCCTGACATTGCTGCAGTGAGATGTGCTATTACCTTCTTCTCTACATTAACTTAGCATACAATTACTACCCTGTTTACAGTTGTATAATTGTGTTTCTGATTGTTTTTAATAAGTTTCCATTTTTAACATCTATTTGTGTTTCACAAGCCAATAAATCTACCCATCTAAACTATGTTCGCATGATCTTCCAACACATAACTACTGTACCCAATACTGATTTTTCTTGAATTACAGACTACACATTTATATGTGGCATGAAAAAAATTGTTACATTTCTTCAATATTTTCAAAACGGTTTTTCAGATTTGTGTTGGAAATTGCTAAAATACTGAGCATTTTTTTTTTTACTGGCTGCGAATCTGCCTCTTGGCCTGTTTGGATTGCAGTGTAATGGTGCTTATACTTGAGAAGTGACACCTCTTCCTCCTGTTTCTTATTCTTATTTGTTAAAAATACAAGAATACTCAACTGTTGTTAACAAATAGTACAAATTAAATCAATTTCCATTTTTATTTACCTAACAGAAGTGCTGGAAAATGGTACTCTAGCAGTGTAGCTGAGCTTCCTGTTTATTATGTCTGCTATTTCACATTATAGATTTTTAAAAGCACTCCAGAAAGCCGGCTAGTCCCCAGGGGATTCCTCTGTTAAAAGCAAACAAAACCATTAAGAATATATTCGAGCATTTTAGAACAAAGCAAGGAATTTATTTGACATGAGTGAAGAAATTAGGCTTCTGCTTCCCATGTCATTCTATTTCGTGCCCGTGGTTAAAAAGCCTCAGGACCACTGAAAGTAAGGTGCTGCATAAAAAAGGGGGGAAAGTAAATGAGGCCTCATATTAGATACTCTGTCAATATTAGCAGCAGAACACGTGCTGTTTATCAGCAATCCTCAAAATCTTTCCGGCTCTCTCAGGTCACTCATTGTTATGAGAACTTCTATGTCTTTTGTTAGAAACCCATTGTGCTCTACTAGCCTTCCACATATTGACATACCCTTTCCTGCGAAAAAGAAAAAGACAGTTCAATTCATCACAGTATGTTTGTTCTACAAGAGCAAGTCGCATGATTATCCAACATGAGATTTGCCATCTTAACAGAGATTGAGATACATAACGGTTTAATCTTCAGATATTTCATTTAGACGTTTCGCACGTTGACCTTTGGACAATTATTCTCAAATGCTCAAAGAATGATATCTTTGTTCCTTAGATCTTTCGATCTAAGGAGGAAAGTATAATTTCTTACAGGGCTCACTAATCTGGAAGAAGAACAGTAGAACAGTTAACGTGTATCTGAGATGCCAAAACAGAAATGGCTGAAATTCTGGGCAAGAGGCATTACTGAAGTCCTGACAGTGTTGTTACTCTTCCCATTTGTGATGCTGACTCACCCAGGTTCCTGGGTTATAGAGAACCCTAAGTACTTCTAAGGGGAAAAACTTATGAATTTCCTCCCATCTCCCACCAAAGCCAATAGTGATGGGTTATGCTAAATTTTCCATACCCTTCAGAGCAAGAATGTTGCCCTTTTGTCATTAATCTGTCCTGTCCTCTTTTACAGTGCCAACCCAGGGACCGTACAATGCTGACAGCTGGAATAAAGCTCAGGTGAATAAGAAGTGCCGCAGAATTCCCATCTTGACCTTAAGAGCACCTTTTCCTGAGTTTAGTGGTCTTAGCAGGTCATTGTCCAAGCCAGTGTGTCGCAGCTGCTTCAGAGGAGGGAACAAGCTGTATGGGGTACCGAAGCTCCTACAAACTCTGTCCTGTGCTCTGGAACTGCTCGCCACCATTTCCACGCGAAGTGGGCCACAGAAACAAAACAGAAGGAGTTTCAGTCACGCTCCTGTCTGTAACAACAGATGCCATTGGCAATGGTCAGCCCCAGTAACTTCCACCTTGTTTACCCTTTGTGCTCCAAAACACGACCGGCTCAAAAGAGTGTCTGTGTGAACAAGCCACCTCTCCACCACCCCTGTAACTGTATGGCTCTTTAGTTGTTTGGAAAAGTAATAAAGCACCTATTGTGATACAGTTCACAGCATCAAAACACAGCTGTGTGGTGCCTGCTGGTGTCAGGCTAGAGACATTCTCTTCTCTGATGGATGCATTAGGAGAACTTGTATTTTTTTTTTAATTTGTAGTCTCTTATTTGTGGGCTACAGCTTGGTATGAGAAAAGTGGACATTAAAAGCTCTGATTCTGGATTGGGTGGGTGGTGGGATCTTAAATTTAAAGGAATGCTCATCTTCGAAAAAAACAGTATGGAGGAGTGCCGATAAAAAAGAAAAGTTGACATGCCTGCTCAACCAGAAAAGAAGCTCTGAGGAAGTGCAAGTGCAAGTGCAAGTGAAGTTGCCACTAGCTGACTCTGAGCATGAGTCCCCCAATCCGTGATCAACTGGCTGACCAAGACTAGGTCATTTCGAGCTGCTCAGGATCCTGAAATAACCATGCAAAAAAATCACGAACACGCTTTTTCACAGCCTCCTGGGAACAAAAAGACTTATTTCATCCTCTGTTCGACCCCAGCTCTGCTTTAAACATACATTGAAAACCAGTGTGCAATTCAACAGTGTACTTTAATAATTTATGTAGTTGATCTTCATCACTCCCTCCTGCAAGGGTTTTTGTAACCTGGATCTGAGTTGACTGACAGATGGCAATTATCTACTGGTGAAGTGTAAATAAATGGCTAATGAATGATTCAATTAAAAAAACAAACCACGGTTAGGATGTTGAATTTTTTGTTAATCCAATTTTCAGCCTGAAAATGGTTACAAGCAAATAAAGGACAGATTTAAGTGAAATACAATTTACCACTATGGAATCTCTTTCCAAGTACCTCTACTTATGGTTTATATTGTAAAATATTACAAGTAACCTCCATCAGTTAGATAGATGGGCTCTCTGGGTAGGTCTTGAAAGTAGTTTGCAGCAAAAAACAATTCACTAAATTGTTCCGTTGTTGTCGTTGTGCTTGCATGAGATAAAATACTCTTCTTTGGCTGTAAGTCCTGAATTCCCTTAGACTTCCAAAAACAATGACAACATATTTATATCTTCCTATAGAATGACCTTCCCCAAAAGAGACAAATTTATGTTTCCTGATCATCTTGACCTCTCAACGCAGCTGAACTGAATTCACAATGAGTTTAGTTCAGCTGTTCTGAGGAGTCAAACCGAAGTGGAAACACTTGGTTGTCACACACTGACAACCCTGAACCGGGCTGCCACATCCCCAAGACCAACATACCGATTTGCAGTAAGATCAGTAGAAAAGGATCTGTATGCAACGTAAATCAAAAGAGAAATTAAATAAGGTTTAAAAATAGATTTTGTCAAATCTATAGCAAAACACGGTTTAGAAATTCAATTTGACGCAGGAGACTTAGGCATTTACAGGCACTTTTTATCCAAAATGTATTTTTTGGATAAAAAGTGCCTGTAAATGCCTAAGTCTCCTGCGTCAAATTGAATTTCTAAACCGTGTTTTGCTATAGATTTGACAAAATCTATTTTTAAACCTTATTTAATTGTATTGTATTGTTCTAATTAATGACTGCCTTAAAGGGACAATGCCAAACATTACACTGGCAAAGCAAAGTTGCCTGCAAGCAAAAACAAACTTAACACTTGTCATTAAACTGCATTGTCCTCATGATATTATGAATCATATCACTGTAACAGTAACAATGAGCCTGCAAGGCAAAGGATTAAGCACTAATGATTTCATAACCTATTCCTTTTACAAGCTGGAAAGTACTGTAACTTTTCAACAAAAGTTCCCTTTCGGAAAACTGTCTGGCATCTCCTCAATAAAATAAAACTTGCTGCCCAGAAAAGAAGTGCAAGTAATACTACAGCAGTCACATGTTTTATAATACAGGTTTTGTGCAGGAGTCCATCCCAGTCCTGGTGGGTGCAGTTTGCAGT